GGGATCGCGATAGACGACCGACCGACCGACCGTCCGTCCGTCGGGAACACCGTCAACGATGGCAGGATCGACGCGGGATGGAGGTTAGGAGGAAGAGGAAGAAGAAAAGGAAGCACCTCCCTGCGGCACGCGCGCGCACGAGAGAGAGAGACAATCCAGCATCCAGCTACGCCCGTGACAGCGTCTGGGCAACTACTGAGGACGATCTGCGCGGTTCCGGCGCAAGCTTTCGTTCCGATTTTGACCGGCCGCGGCGCCACCGGTACCCCGTCATCCCTTTTCGTCAAACTGCCTGCCCGTGGAGGGACCATGGGTGCGCAACCACCGCGTCCGACCACGCGGGAATCCCCGGCTTCGCCTCGGGACCGCGAACGATCCTGCCTCGCTACGTCTTCACGCTAGCAGCCCGCCTTTGTGCGGCTTTTCGACCGGGGCTTGATACCTTCCGGTTGAGGGTAGCCAGCTCCCCGATCCACCGGGGACCGGTTCGAGTAGCCGCTTTTGTGCTCGATGGTCCATCGCATACGAAATTGATGGGGATTCTAGATTGTTTGATGTTGATGGAGACACTTGCCGATGGAGCCTTGGAATTGGGGTGACGGTTTCAACCCCTTGTCTTCGAATATCGGGAGAAACTATTTTGATCCTCGAAGTCTGTTAGGAGGAAGACTTTGGCTTTCGGTGGGAGTAGTTTCGTTTAGATTGGGGGATGATTGGTTGGTTCTTTGTAATAATGATGAAATATTTTGTTAGTTTCATTGTTCGACGGGAAGGTTATTTTACTTTGTAATGGAATATGAATAATGAAATAATCGATCTGGTAAAAATTACGCTGGGTGTAAGGGTATTTTGAACGAGTAATGTAGAGGATCCTCTGATGTAGCTAGTTTGCTAATTCCTAAATATATGTCATTCTTTTAAGCGACACACTTGTACCTAGTTGGATTGAATACTGTTTTTTTTGTTCTATAAAATAACGTCGTTATTGTCGTACGCGAATAGCTTCAGAGTTTGTATAAAGATTCGTCCAAAACTGTTTAATACGGGAAAAAATTGTAATCGATGAATGAATGATTCTAACTGACAAAGGTACATTTCTGCGATTCTCTCCTTTCAGCGTACATCATTGGATAAAATGGAATTGTACTTTATCTATTGATACCGTCGTGACAGGATTGTCAGTAAATTCTAAGGTACATGGGATAGAACGATTTCTCGATTTACGAGCAAAAGCCAACGTGTAAATAGCGACGAGTCGACGATATATCGTGAAACGACACCGTGACTGGAATAGTGAGAAACCTGCCTTTGATTTTTATTCTATTCCCTTCAATAGGTCTTCGGTGTAACGTCTCGGTAGTTTTTGAAAGATCTCGTTGACATCACTCGTCTATTGTTATTACACATACCGAATAACATATGTTGTCAGATACGCAGAGGATTTTCCAATTTTGTGAGTGGATTGCAAAAGGGAACGTAGGAAACAAAAATTGTTATGCGGTGTCGATAAATCAGATTTATTGATACGAAAACTTGCTACTAACATAATACATTGAATCGATATATATTTATAATGAAACCTAATCTTTAGCTTCATAAGTAATATCTTAATTTTTGTGAAGTTTCAATTTCCTTTTTTTTTTAAATAAATATTCAAATAATTTTATTTGTATCGATCTATGTATTACTGAATGACTGTACAAAATAAGTGTGTTATTAGATCCATTAATTAAGTATAATACCAGTAATTTAGTCGTGTATTAGGAGGTCAATTGCTCAAGACTCTTGAGGGGCGTAACTCTTCGCGCCCTTCATGAATAAATAATATAATACTGTAATTAACAATTAAAACCTGCGAGAGGTCTAAATTGTACGTCAGTTTCAATCAGACAAGGAAATGAACATGCGGACGCAAGTAATATAAATACAGTATCGTGTACGCTGGTGGGTTAGACTAATGGAGCATGAAACAACCCGTTTTGTGGTCATATGATTAAACGTATCCGATACTGAAATGACCCATAGACATTCGCTTGGTAGCCGTTTTTCGTATTCCTCCGATGTTGTACACGATAACGCAGATTGCAAGTTGATAATGGAACTGACCATTTTTCTATCCTTGCTTCGGTGTACACTCCAATTTATAAAAAAACGTATCGAATAATAAAATTGTATTTTATTTGAAAAGTATGAAAAGAGCTACAGTATGTTAAATGATGTTAATCGAGAAATAAAAAATTTTAAGTATCACGAACAAAAAATGTTATGACTAAGCAATTGTCAATCGATAAAAAAAATGTCAACGTTTTTTTCTTAGTTTTATTAATGTGGGTCATCTAATAGGAACTGAACAAAAAGAAATTAATGGTATCGATGTTTATCTGTGTAAACAAAATTTGTTTTACTCGAAAACACAAATTATAAGGTAGTACAATTATATGTAGATAGACAGTATTTATTTTATAATTTATTTTATTGTCTTTGGTTTCTTGAAATGGTGTACGGATATTTCATTTAACAAACATTCGTATATTGCTAATAATATGCGAACGTAATAAAGTAATTAATTTTTAAACGTAGTTACATAAACACTCACTAAAAAGTAACATCGCCTTTTAGGTACATATGGAATTAAGGATATGTACGTAAAAAATATACAGAGATATTGGCAAGACTGTATACAGCCGCAAAGTCGATAAATTTTTATAATACTGACGCTTTCATTAAAGAAATTAATCTTATTCAGTAGAAAAATATACATTTCTTAACATACACTAGATACTTTCATATCTATTAACAAACAGAATTCCTTTAACCTAATTCATAATATTGCTTATTTGTCAAATGATATAAAAAAACAAGAATACACGCTTATAAAGAAACAATAAAAACATATAAACTTAATGAAAAATAAAATATGTAAAAATAAAAGGAACTTCAAGTAAGTAAATACTGTAAAAATTTAAATTTATAAATTTACAGAAGGATAAGTAATATCCCATAAAGCATTGCTTTTTCTAAATTCATAGGTACTGAACTGTTGTAAACAATGTCGTTACTATTACTGTCGATACTCTTGAAAATCAAATACGATTGCGGCAATACGATTGCGTAAATCATATATTTCTATACCCTATAATACTTTGATAATAATGTCTTTGGTTTCTCTATAAAAGTCTAAATAAAAAGTAAACAAATATAAAAAAATGATTTTCCCATGTAGCGTAACTTACCACTTGTTCACTTATTTTTATGTCGTCTTACGTGATTCTCGAATGCACCGAGCTTACTGTATATTTTTTTACATACGCTACATGTGAATGTTTTGGAATGATTGCGAGCGTAATGAACGCCATGAAAGACTTTTAAATGTTGAATTAAAGACGATCTGTGTCTGAAACCAAATTGCCGTCAGTGCGTCAATTTCGATATCTGAGAATGATGCTAAAGGATCTTCGCCTCTTTTCATTTTACCTATACGCTTTAATGCACATGTCGCATTCGTATGGTTCTTTCAATCGGCCGCAATGAATGAAGTGTCTATTGAAATGATATTTTCGATTGAAAAGCCTACCGCAGCTTTCGCAAAGTATTACGTACGTACCTAAAAAGAAATTCGGTAACAAACACTACGGTTTTTGCTGTTAATAAAATCTGACATTACCTCCGTGTGCTGCTGCCTGGTGTACCGCCAATGTGCGGGCCGAGGAAAACATTAGGGGACATAACACACACTGGAACCTATAAGCGACTTTCATACTTTACATACCACAAAAATAACCAAAGGTCACAAAGAACCATATATTCAATAAATAAAACATTATTGTACACCTCAACTAAATTGTTGTTTGATATCTAAATAATGCTAATGAACCAGTTACAACAACAGAAATGAAAGGTTTATACTGAACATTATTTCTTGGCGGACTTATTTTTCCAGTAACTTACTTACCTTTCATCAATTGTATCTTTTTCAGAATACTCCTGATCTTGCAATGTATCCTCCTGATACTTAACTTTTATGTTTTCATCAGACTCATAGAAAACTGCATCCATGCTCGACTTAATAGGAGAATTATTACTGTCATCGGTAGATGCATTATATTCTTTCCTTTCTATTGTAGTTAAATCCTCAAGAGTCTCTTTTTTAATATCTTGTTGATTGTAACAATTGTTTGTATCGATACAAGATGATTCAGTGTCTTGTAATTCACATGATGAAGAAGTTTCAGGAGTACATGTTATTAGCCAACATGTACTATTCTCATCAAAGTCTTCTTCTAAAGTATCAACAGTTGAATAACCAGTGTTGACTTGATAATTTATATCATTTTCTGTGGTAACAGAACTTTCTGATAGAAATTTGTTTTTCAGTGACATCATGTGTTTTAATTTACTGGTTGCTATCCAGTGTGAAGCACAGTCTTCGAGACAGTAACTACAACAATCTGTTGAACAGCTTGGTTCTTTTTCATCAACGAGTTGTGTGTCTTTGTCCCAACACTCTGTTGATGTTACATATTGTGATTTATGTGTATCTATTTCATTGTCATTTATATCATATTCTTTTTCACAAATTCTACTATCACACATTGTACCAAAGGAATTAAATATTTCATCTGAGTCCATTGTATACTCTGTGAAGCTAGTTATTTCATTTGCATCCTGGAATTTGTAATTAAAGTTACTAAATATTTCATTACTTGAGAAATCAATAGGATTTTGTAAATCCACAGCTTCAGTTTCTTCCAAAAAAGAACCATCATGAAATTCAGATGTTAATTCTGTTGATATATCATGTGATATTGCAGGCAATAAATTTTCTTTTGGCTTCTCAATTTTAGTAGTAGGCACTTCACATTTTTTGCTTTGTTTTTTGGAGAAATATCTGGATTTTTTTCTTTTAATGCAAGCTTTCGAGTTTCCTTTGTCATCCATGAAGGAATACATATTCCAACTGAGTGATTCTTGCCATACATCTGTGAAACTGTGCTCTTGTTTTCTTCTACTAGATGATCTTCTATATTTGTTACCTTTTTTAATACATTTCTTTTCAGAAGATGAATTACTCAATACTGTTATCTGATTAAATGAATTCTGTACATTTTCTTTGACATTATTACAAATTTTACTTGTTTCATCTAAAGTTACTTCAGTAACTTTTTGTGGTTTCAGATTATTTTTTAATATATTAGGAATTCTACGACTAAATGTTTTAGTAGACATATTAGCTTTTTCCTTAAAAAAATTGTGTTTTAATAAATAGTTCCAAACTTCTCAAATTTCAAATTGCAAAAATCTTCATGGCAATCAGCCATAGTCTATTTCATTTCTTTAACATTTTTACATTTCTCTTGGGTACTATTTTCCTTTTTAAATGTATATTATTTAACTAATTATACATTTTCTGTTACTTTGTATCACTTATTACAGCTACAAAATGTAAGATTGAAATAAATCTTTAAAAAAGGGTATACTATCACATCTTTATAGAAATCACAATAATCAATTTGCAAAACTTATTAATGAAAAAAAATAAGAACATACACAAATTATAAGGTATATAAAATAGAAAATGAGATTCAAATATAATTGGAGAAAAATCGCGCGATTTCATTTTAAGTTTAATGTAACTATTGTAGCAAGTGAGCTTACCTAATTTTTCCAACGAAGCCGATGTTTGAAATGTAAATCGCGAATGTACTTTCAAGCATCTTCATTATAACAGCCGTTATTTATAAATATTTTTATGTTTTTAAAAGAGAAGTTGGAAAAATATTAATATTTTTAAATGTAAATTCTCGATCACCACGCGACGTACACTGCTAACACTACTGTCCGTCATGATCGACAATCGAAAGTACGTATACTATCTTGCCGGAAAACTATGGTTATGTTTAAAGATACCAGAAAGAAACATTAGACGCCCTTGAACGGGGTAAAATGTAAACACTTCAAGAAAGGATATACACGTTTCACGATGAAAAATACATGTAAGACTTTCTGTATCATTTAAATTTTTCTATAGAATATATAATAATTATCATTTTCTGATTCGTCAACTTTTAAATGATTTGATCAAAGCTGTCAAGTTATGAAAGTTAGTCCAAATGTAAAAATTTGTATGTATACAAACTGAATATAAAAAAAAAATAAATAATATTGTCCATTCATCGTGTATTTGTATGTGAAATTGTTTTTTGTGATATTTCATGTATGTTGACAACGAAATTAACAAATTTTTCTGTCAGTGTAAATTTCTTGATTTCTTAGAATATGAATTGTGGAAATATGCAAAGTGTTAATAATGTAGTGGAAATCATAAAGTGGAAACAAGTAATATGATAATAAAATACTTTATTCTGGTAGTATGATTGTTAAGTGTAATAAAATTTTAGAAGTAACAAAAAAATGATATATATGTGACAACAGTGATAAAATAAATAAAATGCTTTGTGTTTTACAATATTTAAGTGTTGATTTGGTTTGTGCGATTAAGAAACATAAATACAATTACCAATCATTACTGTCAGACACATCATCACTTTGATATCTTAGTGTAGAAAATAATACATCTCTGACTTTTGGCTTTGGATCTTCGGTAATCTTAGTTGGTACAGCTTCTACTTGACCCAACATCCATTCCAATTCTGTTGTAATATAAACATTTATATTAATAGTATTAGTTACAAGTGTATAAGTTATCAATTGCATGTATTATTATTCTTTATTAATTTATAATCATATTTACCTGCTTCTGTTAATTTCATGCCTCTTAATTCCATTGGTCCAATGAATTGTTTTACCATACTTCCATTATGGTAGATAAAGATTGTAGGAACTTTAGTATCTGGCCAATTAGGAATACAAGTAGTTGAAATACTTTTTAAAAATTTTGTTGTTGGAAACTTTCTAGCTAGATTGGCTAAGTACTGATTTATAAGTGTACATAGTGGGATGCTAAAAATCATAATCAGAATTATAAATGGTTTTTTTATTAAGTTTGTTTTCATTGACCAAATTTTATCATACCCGTTCTTATACAAATGAAGGACTACCCAAATACCATCTCCAGCATTGTTTACTTCCTGCACATAGTCTTCTGCTGATATTTCCTTGACTTCCCCATACTTAGATTTGTCAGCCAATGCTTTTATCTCTGCTATTCTCTTACGCCGATATTCTAATAGAACCTTCTCATCTTCTTCATCTTCTAGTTCATTTAATTCATCTAATGTCTTAGTATCTAAATCATCAGTTGCTGTTAAAGAAGAAATAATAATATTCATTAAAAACCTATGAACAGTATATAATATAAAATGAATAAAAAATACTCAATTACTTCGTCCAGTTTTCTCGTTTATAGTATTTTCCACAATGTCTAATATCTGTTCCTCCGTAACTTCTTTTTCCTTCTTCGGGAGGATCCCTTTACTTCTGAGAATATCATTCCACTCTGTATCTTCATTTGGATCTTGCTATAGTAAGAGGATTGAGGTTATGTAAGCATAAAAATAAAAAACTTATAGAAAAACTGTATTTTAACTATATATTAACTATATAACAATAGTTGTAACTAAGTCAATGATAATTTTGGAATTCAGGTAATTTTTGGTACTTTTTATTTGAAACCAGAGATGTCCACCTTGACCTAACCTTTATTTGGAACAGTCAAATCTCCACTTACCATGGTGAATGAATGAAATATTAACGCAATTCAGCACAAAGAAGTGATTTGCAATATGCACTTCGATAAATCAATGGATTTGTATACTTGACGTGACAAGTATGCAAGTGTCACACCAGTCGTGATCGACAGCTGATCACGTTTCACTACAATGAGATCTGCTACACACCCGTACCCTTCCACACGGGCATTTATGGTATCATCAATGACGCATTCACACTCCAATCCCATTCTATTTAAAAACTGTGTCATTAGGCGGTGGCGCCCCTCACGGTTACGATGAAATTGTGAAACGTATTTTTACGTTGGTATTGCGCAATGGAAATATTATTGAGAATTTCCCTATTTTTAATAACTTTACAAATGGGATGTCTCGAAAATCTGACATTGCTATTCCAATTATTAGAATAAGGAAGGAATGACATATAGAATAAGACTGAACATTAGAATTACAGTAAACACCGTAAATACTAGGATATGACTAAGCGTATAGTAAATAATGTTAGAACACCTGAATACACGGTTACCTCACAAGTTAAATTAATAATGTTGAGCTTAGTATAGTAATTATTTTTCATTTACAGTATACTTATATGCGTAACTGTATATGTTACTCGAATGATTCATTCTGCAAGAAGCGCATGCGGTACCATGTTCAAACGGCAAGAATCATTTGAACAACCTATAGACCGTGTCGCGTGTAATCAGAGAAACCGGTTAATCGTGCAGCTGTGCTGGACCCACGTCAGTGTTTTGTGTCCCGCACCAAATACCTAAAACCAGTTTGAGGCATCACCTCGATAATATTTATAGCCATATGGAATGATAATTTCCATTTATAACGGTACAGCGTTATCCCCGAGACCCACACTCACATTTAGATTTCTCAAATTAAACTTTTTTTCTCGAGCGCACTCAATTAAATTCGTCACGGAACTCCCTGTAGCGATACAACACAATCGGAGTCTTTCCATTTAAATTTCAAATATATCCGGACGACGATTGATAAAACAATTTTACATAACTCCATTTTCGTGTTTTGAATAATGAACTACCAATTTGGTAAATGTTGAATCTTCATGGATATCCTATTTACCACTTGATCATTGTACTACATGTTTAAAAACGAAGAAAAACTATTGATAGTAATTGCTGATTGCTACTTTATCTTCCCATCTTCAAGGGATAAAATCATCAGTTAATACTAAAACTGCCGAATCGATCAAAATGACCCATTCGTGAATTCTTTTACAATTATTGAAAACGTAACGAATGCTTCTCCGAGAGAGTATTGAAGAAATTGATTTTTACACAAAGTGAATTATATGTTAATCGAAATCTCAGTAGATGTACTTAGAGCTTCTATAGACAAATTTTAAAAAGTCAACTTGACCGCTCGGTAGTTTTAGTGTTGAACAGTTATCAGAAACGGTACGAGATCCAATAATGTTCGATTGCGAGTTAGGTTTAATACAGAATGCAATATCGCGCTCAGAGACGAAGAAGTCGGATTAATTTCCCCTCGATTGCAATGCGATGCATGAGCTTAATTTGCACGCAACACACCGAGAAACGCTCGATCCGTTTTCACGGTGCTTTCACGTCGCGTGCACCTTTGTGTGGCGGGGCCTTTGTTGCCGGACCACATAAAAGGAACATGTTTCTTCGACGACGGCAGGCAAATTGCAGAAAATGTGTATCGATGGCCACTGACGGATGAAAGTGAACACGTGTATCCTTTTGTGTTTCTGCCTGTAACGCGAGAGTAGAGATTTTTTAAAATGATCGCGGGAGTCGCGTTTCATCGGGTTTGATTAAAATCTCCGTAATTGAAAGCCACTGATCTTCGAGAAAAATCGTTGCGGTTACGCAGTTGAACGCGCTAATGGCGTGTACAGGGTGTCGAAGGAAAGCTAGCCGTTCCTTTACACCGAGACGAAGTTATTTTGTTCCTACGGCAATTTTTGCGTTTCGACACCTTTTATTCGACGAACGGAGGGGTCACGTTATTTAAGAATTTGAAGAGATTTTTTATTATAATCTGACATGACTGAAATAACTAGTTTCTGAAAGAAAGTATTCTAGTTGTTTGTCCCAATAATTTTATTCTTCGATTTTCGTGTTTGATGGGTAAATGGAAAATTTGCCGTGTGCCGATATGAAGTAGGATTCGATGAATCGAAGAAAAGAAAAATTAGTTGAAAATTTCTAAAGTGTTTTTAGGGAAATCAGTACAATGGAGGCCGCCAGGGAAATACTGATCAAAGCTTCCCTCGCGTGAGTGTATATTGCACGCACCGTTTGCGGTTATTGTTTTCCATTGTTGTGCTCTCCTTTTTTTCCGAAAGTATTGTTTGGTCGAAGCGTTCGCGTTTCCGGTTGCGTGCTAGATTGGAACTTAACCCTGTATTTAGGCATGCGCAACTCGATTCACAGGAATTTCTGTCGTTTGTATTGCGCGCCGCGTTGGTATCAAAGGGACATTTAACTGTGAACAAAACGTACGTCGCAATTGTGTAAATTAATATGCCCCTGATGAAACGCGATGAGATAATGAGATGACGAGGCACCCGACGAAATTCTTCGGTCAATTAAAATCGTATTAGGTCATAATTACTGGACGGCGGATGTTCATCGAATTTGCAACATTTCGAAAGCGAATTTTGGTAAATCTACAATTGCACAAAATTTGATCGTAATTTCAGTAGTATTTACATTATTCTCGACTGTACGTTTCGTCGATTCTGTAAACAGTTTTAGCCTTTTCGTCTGTCTTCGCGTGCCTAAGGTTGGTCTATTAAATTCTGTCGTGCTGTTCCTTACATCTCCCTTTCCTGTGCATTGTAAGAGCACAAATATCTTGCTTCTATTGTCTGGCATTAGTTCACCCTCCGATTTACCACAATCTCGCGGTCGGGTCTTTCGTTGGCCTGATATCCTCGCTGCGGTTAGGTATCGATGGTTCTCCGACCTTCTTTCCTCGAATTACGTAGCGAAGATCGGTCTTGCCAATTTCCGATCGAAGTATAGTGAAAATGGCAAATAGTTAGCAAATACAAGAATAACTCAATACATTTTCTACGTGCGGCGCAGTTTCCTTGAACACTCTCAGTTTCCCTGAAATTCGAAACAAAATGATTCCTACCTAACAAAACAAGAATTAAAAGAGTTCAAATTGAATTTTCTAATAGCAATTCCAATATCCCCATTGTTCACCAATGTAGTGTCACGAATCGTATGATTAGAAGCTCAATGCCCGAACAACAACGGCTAAAAGATCGTTAATTTCCAGCGGAAACTTTTCGACAGGATGCTATCTGAAAAGGACAAAATTATTTTTAACCAGGGGATCAACGCGTCGTCTTCGAGAATCGTACAAGCGTTTCCACGTTTGCTTGTTTTGCCAAGAAAATTTGCATAACCTCGCGTGTACGGCATCGTGATTTGTTGAAAAAAAAGGGAAGGAGATGGATGAAACGACCTTGCAGGCAGTCGGCGTACGTGCGCGACGGAGCCCTCGGGAAAGGCGTAAACGAAGGGAACGAAAGAGAATCGGAAATGAACGAGGTTCTAAGCGATCTGGTATGTACACATAATCCGGCCGACAGAATTTGTTCGGACGTGTGTATGTCCATTTCGTTTAGATCGTAGCCTACCGGAAATTTGCAGTTAGCTGCATTCCTTGCAGGGTCAGTCGCTTCGGGAACACCTTCGTTCGTCTGACCGTTAATTACCTGGCCAGCGAAAATGTAATTTTCAATTCGGCGTCGATTGGCTTTGATCCGACGATTAAGTGGATTTTAATTGGCCAACGTTTACGTTTCGAGTAGAAGATTACCAAAAGCAAATGAAACTGATTGCGATCTATATTTCGTCGGATTATACCGATCTCCAATGTTTATCTCCATAAATTATGGTGGTCGTTTAATCCGGCCTTATCATTCGATGCGTTTCCTTAATCAGAGAGTTCTTGTATCGTTTCGTAATATCCGTTTTACGCTGCCGCGCGATTTCCTCGAGAGTGTAAGGAAAATGTTTTCATCTTATTAGGAAGGATGTTTGCTTCTTTGTTTTTAGCATCTTAAAGTTTTCAATTGCCAGATTGAATTCTTATTAGTTTCATATATATTTTGCAATTATAGAAATGTTGTCGTGTTACCCTGTTTATATGAGCTGGTCCATATAGAATGAGTATCAGTATAGCTTAGTTTCAAGAAATTAACATGATTTATAGGTCGGCGAGGAGAAGATAAGTAGATTCTACGAGGAAAGTAGTACGAATTTGATTATTGGTTCGCAGCAACCGTAAAGGAACGTGGAAACAGCCACGCCTGATCGCTTATTTTTCTAGCTAATGGAATGTGAAATGTTAATTAAATGTTGACCACTGTTGGAAGTAGTACGGAACCCATGTTTCTGCGGTCGGAATATCCATACGTTTCTGCGAAGCATATTTTTTGAACTAAGATCGAAACGCATGAAGATTTATCAATATTAAAGTCAGTTCTCCGAAGCAGTATAATAATTTCTTCAGAAACTTCGTAATTTTTGTTTTCCTCTACATTCGAAGAGACATCTTCCTCTTATCCAATTCCGATGTCCCTGCGTAGAAACCTTGGTCCCTGTTACAACACACGGTTTTAGAAAGCCCCGTCCGTAAATTGTTTTACGTATTCAACGTCCTCGATGGACATTGACATCTTGCTCGTGATTTCAGAACACGCGTCCTTTTGTAACTTCAAACAACCTAAGACCCCTTTCATTTCTACAATTCCAAATATTCAAACTTCAAATTTCATCCAGTATCCCAAGATCATACTCCACTACTTAAAATCATTTTATTTTCAACCTTAGATCACCGATCTCTCGTCGAAACAACCATCCATTTACATCCACGATACTTTCTAACTCCAACACACAGTCTGCAAATCCAATACGAATCGCCCGCTAATAACACCCCAGAAAGTTCAACAAAATCCAAACTAAACCAGTTACCAAATACTTTCTCCTCCATCGAAAGTCAACGGATCCTCCCCGTGGACTCAGCAGAAAATTGAAAAAAAAAGAACGTCGGGAATTCCCGGACAATCAGAAAACACGGTACCCGCACGGTCTGTTATCAGGAATTCTCCGCGGCGTTTTCGAAGTGGTGCGCCGCGTTTTGCCGGACGATAACAGTGCCGGAGTACCTGACCGACGAGGGGCAGCCAATGAAAGAGCTGCCACGGCGTCGACCATCTTGCGCGGCTCCGCTTTCGAGTTCGGAGTCGCGTGGCGGCCGAGGTTCGGCTTGCAGTGTACTCCGACTGCCGAGCCGTGACTGACTGACTGACTGTGTACTCGTGGCTCGGCGAACTTCTATTGTGATCCCGTACGTTCTGTGACTTTTTCAACCATCGTCGAAAAACATCGCCGGTCACCGGCTCGATCCGACGAGCACACCGATCGCCCGGTCACCGGTTCGACCGAAGCTAAACTTGGCCGACTGTCAACGTCAACTTGACTGTTCGGCGCCGAGGCGACGCATGTGTTTACATTTCGCTTCCTCGAGATCCGCGCGCGCTCGATCCACGGTCCTCTGTTCAGTCGAGGATCCAAGAATGATGCCGGTTCCTTCTTTCCCTGGATTTTCATGAAAAACCGAGACTTTTCTGCTGGAATTTCGGACTCGGCGAGGTGATCCACTTTGTTTTGAAACGAAGTGATCCGGATGTCAGCGCGGGTGTGACAGTTCCAGGGAACCATCCTGTGCCTTTCGCAACGTTGCGTATGATTTATCGTGGACGAGCTGCACGCTGATCGATTGGGCAACGGCGATCGACGAAAGGGATTTTTTTTTAAGAGGACGCCGCTTGGACTCGTGCTGCGTGACAAAGGTAGGATGCTCGTTGAGTTTGATGGTGTACCGGTGCGTTTATTTTGGATTGTTTTCGAAGGGGGATCTTTTTATTCGTGACACTTCCGAATAGGGCGATGGGTTTGGAGGTGTTGAAAGTGCGAACGAGTTGACGTTTATGGGGGCACTTTCGTGTTCGCGCGGAGGATACGGGTGTAGACTTTTGGAGATAGTCGAGGATTTGGACATTTTTAGGCAATAGGCTTGGCTTAGTTTTTAGTGTCGGAGAAGTGTTTATTTGGTGTTAAGAAGGGAATGTTATTAATATTTTGGTAATAAGTAAATATAATATTTCATCTTATAAATAAATGCAACATTTGAACTAAAAGATAAGTGAATAGAGTATTATATTTATTCTCGATCTATCGAAATCGAAGTCTTGAGATGTTTTTCTTTATTAGCGAGGGATTTCTATAATCGAATATTAAGATGGGTACATGTGTTATCACTGATCACATCTAAACGATGCGTGTTGGATTACATCACGGTTTGTAAATTGCACGAGCAAGTCGGCGTTGACAAACGACCTTCGTTACGGTGCGCGGCACTGACATCTTTGCAATAAAGAAAGCGTGTCGCACAAGCGACGTGTAATTGCGTCTAGTATTCGGCGCAGCAGGACGATCTTATTCGATTTAACCTTGCACTTTCGTCAAGGTGCCCCGAGCTGCTCGTGTGCCGCGACTCTTGGCCAGTCGTGCTTGGAATCTCCGTTTTAGCGACTTTCACGCTGACGTGCCGTTGACATTATCGAAATGCTAGCTCGACGTTATCGATTCTATCGACGTTTATTCGCCGATGACTTCTCTGTTTTCCTAAATTATTGTTGGAGCGTATTTTCTTCCTCCCTCGATGAATAATAATTTCTAACTAACGATAAAATTTCTTATTTCTCCTAAACGACTCTTTAGAAACTTATATTTACATAATAAATTACCTGTAGCTATAAAAAAACCAAGAAAACTATGTCTAAAGTACACGTTTTGCATTTGATAATCATTGTAACGAGCTTTCCATTCGATTTTGTCTTATATTTTTGCACTTGATCGAGTATGATGCTAAACTATCTCACAGTTGATTTATCTCGAAGGGAGTGTAGCATTAGTCACACTGCAGAAAGTAATAGATTCATTTCCGCTTTTTGCAAGTTAATGAGTTCGTTGCTTGCATCTAACGACACTCGTAAAGATGAAAAATAATATCCTGTTCTCCGGATACATACAGGGAACGATGTATGTAAATAATGTTCATAGTATGCCTAGCAAATTAGGAAAAGTTGCCTTCAAAGTACAGAATGATAATAAATAACAGCGAACATTAAGCAGTTATTTCTAATATAAACATATTCGCGGATCGAACTGTTACAGTATTCTTTGCGCGAAATAAATCCTTGATGATCCTGATTAATTTACTGTAATACATTTAATGGGGGTTAATAAACGTAAAATTGCCAGCCCATTGTGACGGGGTGTTGCAAACAGAAAACGGTTTCGGAAAGTGGAAATCGACGGCGATTGTGTCCAGGAGCGTGTATGTTTTAAAATTTTTTTACTCCATTGTTGAGCGACGAATTTCGTCAGCGACGGATCCGAAATACCCACACGTTATTGTCTCCCGGCGAGAACAATGAACCATTTACCATGTTCGACACTGCATTTTTTCTGTCGCATGCGCATACAAGACGCGAAAGGGAAAAACGTTTCGAAGGCCTTTACGAGCCTATCTGCATGCGATGCATCTGTTTACGCACACTTGAACGTAACCGCGAGTCTCTGTGAATCATATCGATAATAATACCCGTAACTTATCCTTAGCCAAATATAAGCTCGGCGCGATAGCCGCGCGATGCCGATGGAATGCAAAAAATTCGAAACATTCCGAATTGGAATTAACGCTCGATACGCGCGAGATAAATGAAATAATAAATGAAAAATATATATTTCTTCTCAATTTTTATTTCACCTAATGAAACGTAGAAATGGCACTTAGAATAGTGGGATTGTTAAAATGGATATCATTTTTTCTATTTATTCTAAAGACTGACTCAACAGCAATTTTTGGTTCACTTCCATTCTATTCTTCGCATCAGATTCATCGTTCCCCGCCGTTGACACAACAATTTTCTCTCGGAACTTACCTCGTAGATTATTCATCTTTTGAATACTTCATCTCATCCCCGCGCTCCCTCGCCGCTGCAACCTTTTATCCACCCCCTGTCTCAATTTTCAATTTCGTCGGATCCTCATGGTTTCTTCTCCTTTGATTCCGGCCTCTCCGCTCGCTCCTCTCCATTTTTACAATGTAACCATGAATACTTACGCGGCCATTACATTTCCGTCTTTTCGAGACCACGGCGGTCCACGGTTTCATCTGCTTCATTGCGCCGCCATGGTTTTTCTCATTTAACCGTGCGCAAACTTCTCGCAGACGCTTCCCCTTCCGCCTCGTATCTTCCATTTGCCTAACATTCAGCGATATTTCTGTTTTCCTCGTGTCCCGTCTTCCGACCTCGTAAATATTCATCCCGGATTTCTTCGTTTCCCTGATTTTTCCGTCCCTTCCGTGATTCACCTTCCGTGCCCCGCCAGACGCGTCTACGATCGAGTTTCGCCGTGCGCGAATCCCCGGCGAGATAGCGTTAGCTCGAAGCGTGTTTGAATTGCAGACGCCTGACAGATCTTCCCTTATCGTTCTTATCGCGATTAAATGTTTGCCGCTAAACTGCTCGATAAGCTCGATTCGATCCCGCTCGGCTGCCGGTCCAACGGAAACGACGATACGAATTCACGATAAATATTAATGAGCGTCTGCCCCTCAGCCTGCAACTCTGTTACCCCTGTAAAAAGCAAACTATGGGAAACTCGCGGGATGCGCGAATTAACCGACCGTTTTGCGTGATAGGTCACCGGATGCATTTCTCTGTCCGCACTTCTGCCCCGCGCGTCTCTCATTACGGAGTACACCGCAACTGGCGCGTACGCTGTTTATTTGGAACCTCTTCGAACCTATTTTGATAACGTACACACTTTTCCTGTGTACCTTGAACATTCAAATGTAAAACACTTCCTAGGAAAATATCTTATATTTTAGATTGTTCAGCCGACCGGATCAAATTCTCTCATTCGATTATTTACAATTTTAACCCTTCGCGCTCGAAAGTTTTTCACTGGAAATATCCAACATTTTCCGACGAGACACGGACATTGTTTGAACCTAATTTAACGACAATTCACAGATAAATCAAGCAACGAAGCTATTTTATTGAAATACTTCACATAGCAATACAAAGTTTCATTTAGAATACTAAATATTCAACTTCATAGTTTTGCTGTATCAAATCGCGCGATGACAGAGTCACCTCTCGAGTGCGAAGGGTTAATAATTCATCCTTCCATTTATTAATAGAGCATATTAGAAATACACTAAATTTATTCACGTATTACAAAAATTCTACTGTACAATAGTTTCATTACAATCCCAACGAGAGGAACAGCTCAATTCCTCTCTGATCCTTCTACCGCGAACACGTGTACACATCAATCCTCCCACGAACAGTACAACAAAGTACACAGTCAACATCTCTAAATCGTTTATCTAAACAGTACAAACAGCACAATCGCCGACGCAAACGATGAAGAGGTGAAGTGAAATTTTTCCGCGCGACGGGAGGCAAAAACAGTTACGCGATCCCGACGTAGTACATAGGCGACTCGCCGCGTTTATATCTAGCCGGGGCAGCTATTCAGGCCTATCCGCCGCTCCACCTTCCAAACACGGCTCTGACTCAACGCCGAGATTGTTTTTGGGCAAAGAATCTGTTCAGAGGCTCCGGCCGACTTTGCCGAGAGACGCCGAGGGTCTCCGTAGCTCGTTGCGAGACGCCCACCCACGCATCGCCTCCGGCACTCGGCACATACGGGGTGTCAAGAAAGTGCATCGATCGCTGCCCGCCGACCCGTGAACTCTCGCGGCAGAAGGGGAGATGGAAAGTGAACGAACGTAGGCTAGGTCCGGGGTGATTTTAATACGCGATATTATTCAGCCGCCATCGCGCGTCCATGATAAACCCCCTGGTTATCGTCCATTCATTCGTCCCTCTGTTCGCCGCGCTGAAAAGCCGGCCAGTTTTAATTCGCCCACCGTGTAATCTATCCTCGTTTCATGAAACATTAACTCGGGAATTTGTATCGCGACCGGATTTAGGACGTGTTAAGGACCGCCCGCGCTCGGTAATGGATGTCATCGATTTCTTTGAAAGCCGCCCGCACGCTTTTTGCCCCGGTCATGGGAAAACACGG